GGAGAAGTCCAGCGGTCGCACTGCTCATTACAAGTTGACCTCCACAGTGATGCTGTGGCTGCAGACTAATAAAACTGGTTCTGGTACCATGAACCTTGGAGGGAGCCTTACCAGACAGGTATGTCTGTGTGTTGGCAGCAGAGCCAGGCCATGTCTTTGCTCACTGACACACCTAGGAGCCCCAGTCAGGCACAAAAAGCTGATTTTGTGAGGTGTTGTATCAACATCTCTTCTGCTGCTCTTGTGCTTCCAGTGAAATGGTTAATGCAGTGTGTAATTACCAGAAAACCCCTTGAACTGTGCTTGACAGCAGTGCAGCTTGCAATTAAAAGTACAGAACATTCAGTAGGAGTTCAGACTTGCTTTTAAGTCTTAGTTTGTCTTTTGCTATTCCTGAGTTTTTATACTTCATTACATGTTGTAGATATTTTGATCTCTAAGATTTGCCACTGCTGGAAGATTCCAATAGGACTATAAAAATACAGGATGACTTCTTCTGTTATGTCTCTCATTTAAACCCCAACCAAACCACTGGATTTTGCACTGACTGTAGGATTCTTCTTGTCCTTAAAAACATCACTTATCTTTCATATCCTCCTTTAGTATTTTCTTCCTGCAGTATCAAGACACTGACTGAAAAAAAAACCCAACTGAAAACCTGACACATCTGTTCTAAACATTTGGGGTTTTTAATGCCAGTGTTAATTACTTTGACTTCCTCCTGAGAGCTGTTTTTCCCCAGAAGGTGCCAGAGTGGTGGCAGTTCAGGCAGTGCTGCTGTCTCAGTCTCCACCAGGCACGAGCTGCTGGACTTGGCTGCTCTGGATGAAGGTTCTCCTGCCCCAGCCACCTGCCAGAGGCTGCTCTCTCCCTGCTCTGTGCTGCTGATGAATTAGGGTTGCATAAACTCTGCTGTGGAAGTCACTGACTCGAGCAGAGTAATAAACTCCAGAGGACAGGAGGCATATTGTAAGGTCATGAGTGACTAGAGAGATTGGCAGCAGCTAAAACTCCTTTATGAGCCTTCCCAGGCCAGGCTGGGGCTTTCCATACAAAGCACAATGCAGACTCTGTTAAAAACCTCATGGTTTTGGACAGGTTTGAGCCAGGGCAGAGGCAAGAAGGGTCTGTGATTGCAGAATTTGCCTTAATCTGGCAGTCCCAGAAGCTTTTCCTAAACCTAGGTGATTTTTTCTTTCCACGGTGTTGATTCACAGAAGAAGCTGATGGAAAAGCAGAGGAGGGAGGGGGAAAAAAAAAGCAGCTGGAGACACTTTTGAGCACTGCTTACTCTTTTAAAGTGTTTGCAGTAATTACACTCCAGTTATGGTGACCTGGACAAATATTTAATCTCAGGCCTTGCTCGTACTGTAAATCAGACCTGTGAAGTGCAGGCCAAGGGCTTGACTCTGGCCATGGCCTTGTGCAGTACAAGCTGTGCCAAGGAAAACAAGACTCTGCTGAGGATGGGTGTCCTCAGTACACCTTGGCCTGAGCTGCTGGGCCTTGTTTAGTTTGACTTTCACTCTCAAAGCTTTAGTGGGGAGATTCATGCTTCTGTCATCGTTCTAACTGCAGAACATTGAATTCAGATGTGATGCATTAAAGCCAGGGCTTGCTTCCAATGTAAGTAACCATGAACCAGCCACGGGGGTAATGATGCACTGCTCCTGCACAGTGGAAGCTGGAGGGACAGATTTCACTTGGGGCTGGAGATTTGCTGCTGGTGGATACCATAGGAGGCTTAATGGGACAGAATCCCCAGCAGAAAACTGCAATCTTCATGCTGCCTCGAGGTGTGCTGTGTGAGGAGGAGCTGTTTGTCCCCAGCCATAGATTTAGCTGCAGCTGGACTAAACTCCTTGAGTGCAAGGCTTGTAGTTTGCTGTAAATCCAGTTTGCCACATCACCTAAGGACTGCAAGTCGTCTTTTTAGTTTTTGACCAGCTTTTTGTACAGTTTGCAGCAAACTTAGCTGCCAAAAGTGGGTTTAACTACTTCTTGAATGGTGTGTTGTCTTTACCTTGACAGTGGCAGTATCTGATAGCCTGACCACAATTATGAAGCAGTTTTGTCCATGGTAAATTGTCCATGGGTTGGGTCATCTTAATTTCAGCTACTTTGACCACCTTTGATCGTAAAAGGTGAGTAGCAGATGTGCTTGTGTTTCAGAGGAAACTTTTGAAGTGTTCACAACCTTGGGAATATCCTGGCAGAGGGAACCTCTTGGAAAGGGAAGTCTGGTGAGAACCATTGCTTTGAATCCAGTTTGGCCTCATGGCTGCAAGTGGGTACTGCTCCAGTGCTGACTGGAATGGTTAGCCTGGTGGCCAGGAGCAGACCAAAGGAACAGCTCATGGAATGCCACATGGTAGAGCTGAACTTGGGTTTGGAATAGGAGTCTAGAAATAGCTGTTCTGTGCTGTCACTTCCTACTAGTGAGATATTGTAGCTGTGCATCCCACACAAACAGGGTTTGTGCTGCCTTTGTCAAGGCTGTTGAGGAAAACTCATCTTTGCCTTTCTTGACTATCCCCAGGCTGGTTCCTGCAAGGCTCCCACTGAGGCTGTGCCTAACTATTGCACTGAATTCTCTCTCCAAGACACTCTGTGTGTTGCCTAGAGAAGCTGTGACTGCCCCAACCCTGGAAGTGTTCCAGGCCACGTTGGATGGGGCTTGGAGCCACCTGGGCTAGTGGAAGGTGTCCCTGCCCATGGCAGAGGATGGAACTGGATGAATTTTAAGTTCCTTCCAACCCAGACCATTCTGAGATTGTTTGAGTGTTCTTAAGCTGCCTTGGGGCCACCTGATGGCACTTTCTGGGTAGATCCTACTCAGAGGTCACATCCCTGACCTGTGCCTACTGCAGTGTCAGGGAGAGAACACCTGTTTGTACAGTTGCCTAAGCAAGGGCTGTTCCAGGCAGTCTGTTCCTGAACAAGGATGCTCTTCCAGGCAGTCAGCTCCTAAACTAGGGCTGTTTCAGGCTGTCTGTTCCTGAACAAGGATGCTCTTCCAGGCAGTCAGCTCCTAAACTAGGGCTGTTTCAGGCTGTCTGTTCCTGAACAAGGATGCTCTTCCAGGCAGTCAGCTCCTAAACTAGGGCTGTTCCAGGCAGTCTGTGCTGGAGACAGGCCTGGATGCAGCTCAGGAGAGCTCAGAGTTGAAGTCCCCCCAGCCCAGGACAGAGGAAGTAACTCCTGTAGCTCATGTTCCACACTGTCAGGCTCCAGTCAGGACAAAGACTGAGGCTGGAATTTGGGTAGGGAAGGAGGGATCAGTGTGTTACACACTGTGTGCTGAGGGGCTGCAGATGGAAGTGAGGAAAGACAGGACATGCTGCCTTCAATTTCCAAGGCAGGGAGCAAAGCTTGCAGGGAAATGAACAGTGCCAGCAGCTTTTCAATTACCTTCAGGTTCTCCAGGGACTGCAGGTAACTCCCACCCCCTCCTGATTCAAGCCAGATGCTTGGCAGATGCTTTTCCCTGACAGACTTTAGGGTCTTGTCCTCTCTGTGTACATTGGAATCACTTGTGTCGTTTGCCACGGCACTGTGCTGCTTTGGCTGGATTTGGGGCTTTCATTAGGCTGCACTTTTATTTAAGGTAAGAGCAGCTGCATGATCCTGTTTCATTTTATGCAAAATAGATGTAGGCTTCCCCTTTGCTGGCAAACACTCAAAACTGCACTTTGCTGGATGGATTTCTGTGTCTCCCTCCTTAAAAGCAAGACAACAGGTGCCTCTCTGAGATCTCCCTGTGCACAAAGAACCTCTGTGTGTGTGTTCCCTGAGCCAGGATGGACACTGTGAGGGAGTGCAAGTTTGCTGAGGAAGAAGTTGGCTCCAAACTTACAGTTTATTTACATTTGGAGATGTGGGAAGGATGTAAAGTCATAGGGAAGTGAAGCCCAGATTGGGGATTAAAGCAGCACAGATGTGTGTTGGGTTTTGAGCTTGCAGTACTCTGCAGTGAAGGTGGAATGTTTTGCTGAGCTGGGTGAGGGTTGTGCTGTGCAAATGGAGCTCTCTGTGTGCAGGAGGATGTGCACTGTGATCTGCTGCTGCTCAGGGAAACACCAGCAGAGCCATTCTGCCATTTATCATCACAGGGAAATCCTCTGAGACTTGTGCTCAGCAATTAGAAGAGTCATCAATTCCCATCAAATCGAGCTTCCATGTAAATCCAATCCCACCAACTTCCAGATCTTGGATGTTTGTGCAGCAGTGGGTTCTTTGATCCTTGAGCTCCCCCTCAGCAGTTGTGTAGTGTCCTGGAGCTCTGTCTCTTTAGCTGCCAGCCCAGCAGTGGTTTGGGGAGCAGAGGACAGCAGAGATGTGCTGAGCACTGATTGTCTGGGGAAGTTTCTCTGCTTCAGTTTTCTGTCATGAAGATGCTGAGACACTGGCACAGGTTGCCCAGAGCAGCTGTGACTGCTCCATCCCTGGGAGTGTTCCAGGCCAGGTTGGATGGGGCTTGGAGCAACCTGGGCTGG